CTACATTTAGGCAAGAAAAACCAAATGTACAGATATAGTATAGGGGGTACCTTGCTCAATAGTAGTAACTGTGAGAGGGACCTCGGAGTTCTAGTGGACAATCATTTAAATATGAGCCAGCCGTGTGCTGCAGCTGCCAAAAAAGCCAACACAGTGCTGGGCTGCATTAACAGAGGGATAGAATCAAGATCACGTGAAGTACTAATACCACTTTACAATGCCTTGGTAAGGCCACACTTGGAATACTGCATCCAGTTTTGGTCACCACGATATAAAAAAGATGTTGAGACTCTAGAAAGAGTACAGAGAAGAGCAACAAAGATGATTAGGGGACTGGAGGCTAAAACATATAAGGAACGGTTGCTGGAATTGGGTATGTCTAGTTTAATGAAGAGAAGGACAAGGGGGGACATGATAGCAGTCTTCCAATATGTCAGGGGTTGTCCTCAAAGAAGCGGGAGTCAAGCTATTCTCCAAAGCGCCTGAAGGCAGGACAAGAAGCAACGGGTGGAAACTCATCAAGGAGAAAAGCAACCTAGAACTAAGGAGAAACTTCCTGACAGTTAGAACAATTAACCAGTGGAACAACCTGCCTCCAGAAGCAGTGAATGCTCCAACACTGGAAGTTTTTAAGAAGAGACTGGACAGCCATTTGTCTGAAATGGTATAAGGTTTCCTGCCTGAGCAGGGGGTTGGACTAGATGACCTCCAAGGTCCCTTCCAACTTTTTTATTCTTCTTCTTATTATTATTATTATAACTATCTCCACAGGCGTACAGATGAACACTAGTTCACACGAAGTTGAATTATTTATTATTATTATTATTATTATTATTATTATTATTATTATTATTATTATTATTATTATTATTATTATTATTATTATTATCTGTCTTTTGGACAGATAGAAGAGGTCTTCCCTCAGTTGTTCAAAAATCTATGGGATGTATTCCCCACTACATAAATTCCACTGCTCAGTGGTTAGAACCTTTGTAAAGACTTTTGACAGTCTTTCAATCGTTTTCATCCGTTCT